GTCTTGATGGGGAAACATTTTTTAAGAAATTTTATGAAAATGATTTTTATATTTGCTGGCTTAGAAACAATTTCAAGAGAGTAGCAAAAGATTTTGTGAGGTAAAAAAAAACAAGTTTAAACGTAAGCAACTGGATTAAAACTTTGGCTGCTGCATTATCTTGCATTCGCAAAACCGCGGCATTTCTCTTGTCCGACAAAGCACATGTCTGTAGTTAGTACAAAGCAATTTTTCAAAGAGCAATAGTATTCCAGAAAGGTCTCGATTTTTTCTCTTTCACGAACTGCTTGATAAGGGAGCCGCTTCACCCAAATTTTCAGAAAGTTTAGTGCCACTCCATGCGTTACCGGTGTGAGCTAGCACGAGTCTGCTAGCTTAGCAGCATGCAATGAAACATATATCACGGGTGTGTTGGTGGTCCATCATGAAAAGAAGTGTTTTTTTTCGTTCATCCCTGTATCCATCTGATTCATCGCCAAAGCACTGATCAGTTGGCATTTTTCGGATTTAAAATTATTTCACGTGTTGCATCAAATTAACTGAATTCTGGTGCTGAAGCAGCGTGCATCCACAAAAAGAAAGTTAAAATGTAAGAGAGAAATGGGAATGATAATACGAATGTGGATGACTTCTGATCCGGAAGTGCACTGCTGAAGGTTCACCCAACAACAGCACTGAGTGCTTATGCAATTAAAGCACTTGTTTTGGGGCGCACCTGGAATTGTTGTTAACGAATTTGACACTTCATTCTTTTTATCTGACACTCATTTCGGAAGTTTCGTACTTCAAAAGACTACAACGAATCCCGTCGCAGCAACACATCTGCTGCGTATTCCTTAGACATCGCTCTTGCTCGGTTTGTAGTTTGCGGACCTGCTGTAATGAAAAGCAACGGTCAATTTGGCCACAAGCAGTTCACTGGAATGGAGCAGAATGAAAATAAGCCTAAACGATTCATTGGCTTGTTGAGGTATTAATTAGCGCTGTAGTGCATGGTACAAACTGGACGCCGCTAGAATGTAATTGCTTAGTGAAATTCCGTTCGGTCCTATATCAGCA